CTTCCAATCCATGAGCATGGGATATTCTTGTATTTGTTGAGGCTATTCTTGGTTTCTTGTAACAGAGTTCTGTAATTTTCCTCATACAAATATTTTGTTCTTTTTTGTCAGGTGTATCCCTAGATATTTCAATTTGTGCTTGACTACCGTGAAGGGTACCACCTTTTTGATCTCCTCTTCTGTGGTCATATCTGATGTGCATAGCAATCCAATGGACTTCTGTTTGTTGATCTTGTATCCTGCCATTCTGCCATACTCCTCTATTGCTTCCAGTACTCCCCTTGTGGAGCTTTTGTGATTTTCCATATATAAAATTATATCATCTGCAAATAACAATAGTTTCACCATTTCCTTCCCCAGGAAAATACTTTTGATGTCCTCTCTTTGCCTTATGCTGTTAGCTAAAATCTCCAGCATGTTATTAAATAAGAGTGGAGACAAGGGGCATCCTTATCTGGTCGCCTTTTTCAGTGAGATTGTGTTCATCTTTTCTCCATTGACTACCACATTGGCTGTTGGTTTTCCATATATAGCTTGTACTGTCTTGAGGAATTTTCCTTCCATTCCTGTCTTCTTGAATATCTTAAACAGGAATTCTGCATCGATGTTAATTAAGGATATTGGTCTTTAATTCTCCATTCTTGTAGGCTCCCTGCCCGGTTTCATATCAGTTATACTAGCGTCATAGAAGGAATTTGGAAGATTTCTGTCTGTTTCTGTTCTGGAAGAGTTTGTGTAAGATTGGTGTCAATTCTTCCCTGAATGCTTGGTAGAATTTTCCTGTGAAGCCAGCTGGTCCAGCGGATTTTTTTTGGTTGGTATTCCCTTGATAACCTTGTCTATTTCTTCTATTGCTATGGGTCTGTTTAGATTTTTGATGTCCACTGGGGATATTCTAGGGGATTGTTTTTCCAAGAATTTGTCCATGTATTTCATGTTGTTGAATTAATTGGAGTACAGTCCTTTGTAGTACTGTGTAATTATCCTTTTGACTTCATTAGGGTCTGTTGTAATGTCCCCTCTTTCATCCCTTATCTTTGCTATTGAAATTTGTTCCCTCCTGTCATTGGTTAGGTTTGCCAATATTCTGCCAATTCTGTTTATCCTTTCAAAGAATCAACTTTTAGCAGCATTATTTTTTCCCATCGTTTTCTTATTTTCCCTCTCCTGAATCTCAGCCCTGATTTTTATTATTTCTTTTCTTTTGCTATTAGTAGGATTGTCCTGTTGACTCTGCTGTACTTGCTGTAAATTTTGCGCCAGCATATCGAACGTAAGTCTCTCTTCCTTTTTCAGGTGTGCATGTATTGCTATGAAACGTCATCTGATAACTGCATTTGCTGTGTCCCATAAAGTTTTTGTATGTCATGTTCTCATTCTCGTTAGTTTCCAGAAATTTCCTAAATTCATCTCTGATCTGGGCCAGTACACACTGCTTTTCCAATAGAGAGATAGTCATCCTCCAATTATTTGCTCTCATTTTCTTCATCTTCCTTTTGTTGATTTCCAGCCTTATGGCACAGTGTCACAGAGAGAGATCTGTATTATATGAATGTTTTAAAATTTATGTAGGTTTGTCTTATACCCCAGCATGTGATCTATCTTTAAATATGTGCTATGTGGGCTTGAAAAGAATGTGGGAGTTTTTTTGTATTTGGATGAAAAGCTCTATAAATATCTATCACAGCAAATTGTCTAATTGTAGTGTTTAGATCTGTAGCCTCCTTGTTGAGTTTCTTTCCCTGTGATCTATCTTTCTCAGAGAGAGGTGTATTGAAGTCACCCACTATAATTGTTGAGGCTGTAATTTCTTTTTCCATCTTTTGGAGTGTTTGGTTGATGTATTCAGCAGGTCTCTCATTCGGGGAATATATGTTTAAAATGCTCAGTGGTTATTTGTCTACCATTCCCTTGAGCATTATATAGTGTCTCTCCTTATCCCTTTTTATGGTTTGCACTTTGAGGTCAATTTTATCCGAGATTAGGATTGAAACCCATGCTTTCTTTGATTTGCTATTTGGTTGGTATGCTTTTCTCTAGCCTTTGATTCTCAGCCTATTTTTGTCTGTAGTCTTGAGAGATATCTCCTGTAGACAGCAGATTGAAGGTGGTGTTCTCTAAGCCAGTCTGCTATCCTCAGTCTTTTAATGCCTGAGTTCACTCCATGGATATTCAGGGTTATTAACGCCATCTGTGGACTCTGTGGTGGCATCTCATACCTTTTGTGTTGGGTGTTTTGTTACTTCCCTTTCTTATCAGTGTGTTGTGTGTGCGCACACGCATGCGTGTTTGTGTGTGTGTGTGTATGTGTGTGTGTGTATGATTCATTCTTGACTTCTTTCCACCTTTAAGCCAATGCTACATTGGGGGCTGTTTTCTCTTTGCTCCCCTCTGGGTGGGGTTTTCTATGTGGTGGTCTATTTTCTTTATTGTTATTTTATCAAACAGGTTTGACACCCGAAAATAAGTCAGTAAAGCTAAATTTTCAAAAGTAATTTAAAGCATCTATTATTCCCTGTAACAACTTGCCTACTGTCCTAAATTAAGAATTTCTTTATAAATGTAAACATTAGAACATTGACAATATCCATGATAAAAATCTAAATTGAAGGAAGTCCAATAATATTAATCTATGCATTTAAAAAATATGAATCTTTCTTTAGTGAAATGATGGTGTCCATGGCTGAGTTAGCGAATGGAAAAGTTGAAAATGGAAAATGAATATGAAAATTATTTTTTAAATTATGGGAACACATTAAAGTGTACTCACGTCAGCTATAAATTTATACTACTAATAAAGTGGATTCTAATTCACTGGGGGGGAAAGGAAAAGCCATAATTCTATGCTGATCTATAAGTAGAGAGATAAGTTGATAAAACCCATTATTATAATATAATTGCCAATTACAGAAATTGATTATTGTTGTTAGAGCTCCCATTTATCAACTACTAACTATACAACTATAACTACTAATAATTGACTGAAGAAAGATCATCAATAGGAACTAAAATTACTGACTAAACTTTTAATTAGAGACAGGCATTTATATAGTTGTTTCAGTATGCTGAAAACTGAGTGCCATCAAGTCAATTTTGACTCATGGTGGCCCCATAGCACAGAGCAGAACTGCCTCTGTGTGTTTCAAAGACTGTAAATGTACACAAGGAATAGAAAGCCTCATCTTTCTCCTGTGGAGCTCCAGGTGGTGTCCACCTGCTGCTTTTGCAGTTAGCATAACCCATTGTCCCTTCAAGGTTCCCTTGCAACATATAATCCCAGAAACTAGACTAAGAAAAATAACATTATAATGGACATTATAATATATAAAGGTATATATTAAAATTGTATTACACATTTTATGTAAAAGTATATATTACGATTTTATTGTAAAAGTATGTATTAAAATTAATATATAGCATTATAACAACATATCACTTGGTATAAATATACACCACTCTGAACAAGTGATCCTAGTTAGTACCATAACTCTTGGCCACATTAATGTTGGCTGCTTAACACTGGAAGGCAGTGTTGAGCATTGCTTGTTCTTTGTCTCCCACCCCTTCCCCTGCCAAAAGACAGACTACGAATCCAAACACAGAGCCCAAATGGAAGAACACTACAAAACCCTGGTCTGTGATTTTCAAATATCAAAGTTCTATCAGGCAAAGAAGACTGAGTAACTACTTCAGATTAAAGAGAATAAATGATCTGGTACCTTAGCTTGTACCTCTGATGAGAAGGCACATGACGATGGTGATTTTAAAAAGCCAATCATGACAGTATTAAATTTTCTTAATCTGGTCATCACACTACAGTTTCGTTATGACTGGTTATTCATGGAAAAGAATAATAAGTAATTTGAGATAAATGGACATCTTGGTGTCTTATACATTCAAATGGTTCAGAAAATAGTCATAACTCACATGGACATCAGGAAGTGGAGCAATGAAGTAGACATGAAAATTGTATATGGGAGAGTACTATATACAATTCACAGCATTTTTCTGAAAGCTTGAACTAATGTCCCAATAAAATGCCAAAAGTAAAATGGTAGGCAAGCATGATGGATAAACACTGACTCAACAGGGATCATTCTGAGACCATTGTGAGGTAAGTAAACCTGATTGTCATTCATTGTCATGTTCTGATCTAGGATCACACTTCTGTCCTTGACAAGCTGCCACAAGCCATGAGGAGCAACCACACATGGGTCACAGAATTCATCTTGCTGGGATTCAATGTCAATGCAGACATGGAACTGCTCCTCTGCGTGATCTTCTCCCTGTTCTTCAGCTTCAGTCTGCTGGCAAATGGGATGATCTTGGGGCTCATTTGGTTGGACACCAGACTGCAAACCCCCATGTACTTCTTCCTCACACACTTGGCTGTCCTTGACCTATCTTATGCTGCTAATATTGTGCCCAACATACTAGTAAACCTAGCAAAGCATGAAAAAACAATTTCCTTTCCCTCATGTATCACACAGATGTTTTTCTTTTTGATTTTTGCAGACACCGAGTGCTTTATTCTGATGATGATGGCCTATGACAGGTACGTGGCCATCTGCCACCCTCTCCAGTACACCGTCATCATGAGCTGGAGGGTGTGCACTGCCCTGGCTGTCATATCCTGGTCTTGTGGGGTTTTCTTGTCCCTTACACATACACTCCTCCTCTTACGATTGCCCTTCTGTGGACCCAGGGAAATAAACCATACCTATTGTGAGGTTTTAGCTGTCCTCAAGTTAGCCTGTGCTGACACCTCCATTAATGAAATAGTTATCTTGTCTGCCTGTGTGTTTATCTTAGTCGGACCCCTTTCCTTCATGTTGGTCTCCTACACCCGCATCCTTAGGGCCATCCTGAAGATCCAGTCTGGGGAGGGACGAAGAAAGGCCTTCTCCACCTGCTCCTCCCATCTCTGTGTGGTTGGAATCTACTTTGGCATAGCTATGTTGGTCTATTTAAACCCAAATAGTGATCAACTAGAGGAGCAGCAGAAAGTTCTTGCAATGTTTTATGGCCTCTTCAACCCCATGCTGAACCCCCTCATCTACAGCCTGAGGAATGCCCAGGTCAAAAGTGCCTTCTACAAGGTGCTGCAGAAGACCAGGGCCACATGAGAGAGAGGAGAATGTGGTTCATGGAGGTCTTTCATGTTTGTTTGCTTTGTTCCTCCTAAGAGAAGTGGATTTCTGATGGGATAAAACTCAAAATAAATCCACAGTAATGTATTTGATTGAAGTGTGGGAAGGGTTCCAAATTTAGATCTGAGAATGGGACACAATTCCCTTGATAAGCATTACCCCTTAGTTTGAGTAGCTGTTTCAGGATATAGACAGGAAAATTATAACAATACTCTCTCTTTTGAAGATGTTGATTTTAAAAAATCAGAAACATGACTAGGTGGAGAAAATGCTTGTCTTAATGCCAGAAAATTGCTTCCATACTTCATTCTGGCTGATCAGGTAGGAGAACTATGACCTAATATCTAGTTGTAGCTAGAAACACTACCATGAATTTAAGGCCTAGATAGAAAATTCCTAAGTAAATGAGAATTTTTATAATGATAATGTCTCAGGGAAAAATACTTCTACCTTATCAATTGTGAAGACAATAAAAAAAGTAACTGAGAAATTCTGAAGTCCTTAAGAGAAATACTTAGGAGTAAATAGGAAAATGTTGGAGAAAGTATTAATCCATGTAGTATCTAATAAAAATATCATAATACATTATTCAAGATTTAAGATATGATCAAATGTGTGAAGTGTGCTTGTTTGTGTTTAAATGAAACTAGTAGAAAGGATTTTGAGCAAAACTCCACTGTTACATATATTTCTGCATTATGATAAGTTTGAATATGGGAAATATGATCCTTGTAGAGACTCTCAGATAATTTTGCCAAAAATCAAAATTTCAGAGTATACTTTGGTACAATAAATATCATTTTACTTCTGTGTGGCAAAACACCTTCAAGATTTGAGATAACCAGGGTAAAAACTTTTATTATGATGAGAGTGGTAAAAATCAGTACATCTGCTCTTTGCTTAACCTTTAGCTAAGAGATTGCAGTTGAAGTCAGCAAGTGAAGATGGGGTAGGGGATGTTGGGGTGGGTTGGTTTGGGGAGCTGGAACAGACTGCATGAGGTGACACAATCAGAGGGGGGTGACGCCATATGACGATCCATAGAATTTTTTCACAGTGTTTCAGCAGAAATTTATCATTTTTATGAAATTTTTCCAATAGTTATTATGAAAGACAAAAATATTTTTCTTTTATAAAAATATTTTTCATACATATTTCAATATACCTACAAGACTAAGACCTGATGCCAATTTCCTCTTTTGAACCTTGTAATATGCTCTGCACATCTTGAGCATGTTGTTGTTAGGTGTCATTGAGTCGGATCCAACCCATAGCTACCTATGCACAACAGAATAAACATTGTATTGTCCTGAGCCCACCAGGCAATTGTTCCAATGTCTGAGCCCGTTGTTGTAGGCCTTAGTCAATATGCCTCCATCTCCTGGTAGGCCTTAGTCAATACGCTTTTAGCAAAATATTTAAAAACTCAAAATGATAAATTCTGGAGAGGATGTGGGGTGAATGGAATGCTCATACATTACTGGTGGGAATGCAAACTGGTGCAGTCACTATGGACAACTGTAGAGTGTTTTCTTAAACAAGGTGAATAGAAATACTATGTAATCCTATAATCTATATACTTGGTATATACCCTAAAGGAATACAGAACAAAACATGAACGGATACATGCACACCCATCTTTATCACAGCAATTTATACAACAGCAAAAAGATGGAAAACTAAAAATCCTGTCTGGGGGGAATAGATAAACAACCTTTGGCACATAAACATATGAAATAGTATGCATCTTTAAAAAACCAGGGCAAGACTGCTGAACACTTCATGACAGAGACACACTTGGAGGATATTATGCTCGGCAAAGTTAAACATCTTCTTGGAGATAAATATTTCATAATGCTATTATTATAAAAGAAAAAAATGAAATTTACATAAAAGGAAAGGGCTTTGAAGGCAATGAGGGGAGAGAGAGGGAGAAAAGGGAGGGAAGGAGAAAAGGGGGAAAAAAAGAAGAAAAACTTTTAAACAAATACTGCCATTGCTTTGATATGATAAGCTATGCAACTACATGTATTGTGCTTTTCTCTGGATGTGATGTTATTGCTTCTTGGACTTTTGGCTAAGATCAAGTGAATGTGATTTTCCCACACAAATGGGAAAAATAATTAAAATGAAAACAGTTAAAACGTTGTCAGTAGATGCCCCTATGAGGCACATTGTTCTTGATCTGTTTTCCAGTACTTACTGTATTGTTTTCTTCAGATTTTGTTTGTTCATATTAGTGTATCTTAGAGGTGTTATGTCAATGGAGGTCACCCTCTTAAGGGTGTGTTATATGCGCTTCCCTTTTTTGGTATATGACACCCAGGATTCGTGACCTACAGGAAAAGCAAGTAGAGTCAGGGGTTCAGAGGAAGGCTGGGGCAGTAGTGGTGGTGGTAAAAGGGAGACGATGTCAAGGAGACCATGTCGGAAAAAAAGTGTTTGGAAAGTCATTGTGGTAGCAATTATACATTCTACTTGATGTGATTGAGATATTGAATAATATGATGTATGTATTAAATCCCAACTTATAATAAATAAGATAAAAAGAGGGAAGCATCACAGGATTAAGATCCTCTAGATTCCTTACCCATCAGATCTAATCACCGATCTGAATGGGTATAAAAGGGGGAACAGTATAATTGAAGCTTACTTGAATTCTTTTGTGACACATGACATAGTTTAAAACAAACAAACAAATAGTAGTTTCATTAAAGTTAAAAATATAAATGTATAAGTAATCCATTTCATTTCCAAATAATACTATTGTGCTTTGCAGATAGTTATTGCTGTTAGTGCAGCTACAATATAAAAAACTCCCTCCTATCCCCTGTATCTTTGCTATCATTCATTTCAAATACACACAATTGCCAAACACATTGTTTCTAGTATTATTTTGAACAAAATTTAAGATGTTAATGCTTGCTGAATATGATTGAAAGTATATTAAACTTCTTGTACAATTTTGGAAATTTTCTGTACGTTTCAATTTATTTACAATAAAATATTTTAAAAAAATAATCCTACCTTCCTACATTAACCTCTATATTCAAATAATAGAACTCTTAACTTGGATTATATATTCAATTTGTGGTTTCTTATATAGCAAGGAGAATCCAAAATAATTCACTCTCATTCTTTATGGGAATAAAAATGATAGGTATGTTTAATTTCTTAACTACCCTGTCGGTTCCTCATGTCTTCTACCATGAGTGTTCAATATGTCAAGTCTGTTCTTGAGATGACCTTGAAAATACAGCTAGAATGGTCCTCAGAAGCAGGGATGGGTAGACTCAGTCTCCCACACTTCGGACATGCTATCAGGAGAGACCAGTCCCTGGAGAAGGACAACATGATCAGCAGTGTAGAGGGGCACAGGAAAGAGGAAGGGCCTCAGCAGGATGGAGTAGCACAGTGTCCTGCAAGAATAGGCTCAACCATCACAACAACTGTGAGGATGTTGAAGGACCAGGCAGGCTTTCTGTAGTATGTAGGGTCTCTATGAGTGGGAATGGACGTGATGGCCCCTAACAACAACATTAAGAGAATCTAATTTAACATGTAAATGTTTCCAGTATAAAGGACAAGGTTTACTGAAGTGTAGAAGATACATGTGTTGAGTTTAAAAATAGAGCAAATATTTACAGAATTGATATGATTGTTTCTGGGTTTTCTGACGCCTGATACCTCATCCCGTTGAAACCTCATGATCACAAAAGCTGGTGTGCTTCTTCCATGTGGCCTTTGTTGCTTCCCTGCTACATGATTGCTTGTTTAACTTCAAGACTTCAAGACCCCAGATGCTATATTTTTAATATCCAGGCACCTTCAACTTTTGCAAACAAGAGGATTCAGAGTGGAGACCCAAAGTCCATCTGTAGATAATTGGACATCCCTTCACAGAAGGGTCACAAGGAAGGGACGAGTCAGCCAGGGTGCAGTACAGCACGGATGAAACACACAACATTCATCCAGTTATTTAATGCTTCCGCTCCCACACGATCATGACCACAGTTCTACCTTACAAATCCCGCTAGACTGGAGCATGTACACTGGTACAGAGAAGAGTTCTCTACACATGAGTCCAAGACAGAGTAGGGATACCAAAAGGGTAGGGGGAAGAAGTGGGGAACTTATCTCAATGATCGATGTATAACCGCCCCCCAAGGGGGATGAACAACAGATATATGGGTGAAGGGAGACAGCGAACAGTGTAAAATATGAAAATAATAATTTATCATTTATCAATAGATCAAGAGGGTGGTGCGGGGTGGGAAAAAGGAAGAGCTGATACCAAGAGCTCAAGTAGAAAGAATATATTTTCAAAATGATGATGGCAACATATGTACAAATGTGCTTGATACAATTGATATATGGATTGTTATAAGAGCTTGCAAGAGCCCCCAATAAAAGGAGTTATATATATACAAACATATATATGTATGTGTGTGCATATATGATTTAGAGAGTGACTACAAGTAAACAGGGTAACGAGCACAGGGGGAATAAGACTCAGTCTCTGTGAGTTAAAAGTTATAAAAATATTTGAAGTTTTGATCATTCATTTCGCAGTAATATTTGTAATGGGATAAATATATTTCTCTCCATTGGGAGTATATACACCTTTGAAGAGTGACCCCAACATCTTCTCTGGGGAGTCATATGTATCATCATATGATAAAACCTTAACCTTTCCATAAGGGGACTGTAGGGACAGGCACAACTGATGATCAAGACCCAAGTTATTCATGGATCAAGGTTAGCTGTTCCTGAGGGTTTTATCTGTCTTGGACTCATGTGTAGAGAGCTCTTCTCTGTACCAGTGTAC